AACAATTTCATTACCACGACTCATATACGGAACCTAAACGCGGGGACATCGTATCATTAATTCAAGAACTCCTAAAGGAATCTAGAATTCGAGCCAATTCCAAAATTCAATTCAATGAAATGAGATGATACCAATATATATCATCTATAAATATTTGCAGAAGAAAATGTGGTTGCAAATCTTCAATTAAGTATCGTTAAATATGATCTGAGCGAATGAAGAACTAAAGATATAATCTCCCAAATCTCCTTAAGAAGATAATGACCTGGAAAAATACGGAGCTAAGGATACAACCCCACGCTACCCCCCGGCCCAACCATTATGTTTTTTCCCTAGCTCTGATGGGACGGCCCATTCTCCGAATCACTCCGGCGTGCACAGTGGTCCGATGCTGAGGCAGTTGGAGTCAGAGAGCCCGCACTGAATATACTTGCCTCAGTCTGAAAGGTCTCTTGCCATGTTGGAACGTGGAGGCTCTTGGTGGAAGTTGAAAGCCTTGCCTGGATATGGAGCAGTCCATGTTCAGATTCGGGGCAGGTGCTGTACAAGAACTGTTGGAGAACCTGGCATAAACTATTCTATTCGCGTTGGCTGTGCTGAGTTCTGCCTCATGCCACACCTCGGAGTGCTTGCTGGTGAGGAGAGCGGGGTTCCAATATGAGCCCAGCAGCTATTGGTTGTCCTGGTGTATTTCTCGCTGCAGCTGTCAACATCCTGGTGAACGGCGGAAGGTCTCAGGGGAAAGGTGGGGCATGTCTTGTTCTTTGGAGCTCCCACGCATTCACAGACTTCGTCCCGATGTTGACACAGAAGGATTGGTGAGGAACAATGAGGAACAAGGCCACAAGGCTTAAGTTCTCATCATGATTTACAACGCGACTAGTGGTGCCCCGGCTCTCTCAGCTCTGCAGCCTAATCAGCTCCTGTGGGCGTGCAGCCAAACAAGTTTTCATCATCCATACGTTTCCTGGAGTCCTCACTAGGGCTGACCCTTGATAGAATCCTTGAGAAGATGAATAAACTTCCCGACCCGAGCTCCCACACAGGGCATTCAGACACATCTTCCCACTGGCCACTACGAAGAGTAAACATGAGTACGGCACTGCAACACTCATCAGTAACCGACCACTACAACCACTAAGCTCAGGGAAGCAAACCTTTCTCGCACCGGACGAACATGCGTGCCTGCTGGCTGCACTGGAACTTCAAATGCGACGTGTCCTCAGGCCGAGCTAAGCGACTGCAGCAAGGTCACCCTCCTGCCCAATCTTTCCAAGTTTGTCAGGCTCTCCAAGACACTGTGCAGTCACGCAAAAGACCCAGGGCCGGGCAGCTTTGTCTTCGCTGGTCTCGCGTCCGGTCCTCAAGCAGGTGCTTTTGGGGACGCGTTCGGTGATGGGCCAGAGGAGGCGGTTCACGGCTTCAGGCTCAAGAACGTCATGTGGGTAGGGGCATGGTTCGAGCGTGTGGATGATCTGGATGCTGCCTTTTTTGGAAAGGCAAGCCGACATGAGAGACACAACAGCGACCATTCCACCCCATGAGGGAACTCGAGCTAAACCCGCTACCAAACTCTTGTCAGAGACGCCTAGCCCTTTACCAGGAAGTGTGACGCAGCTACAGGTTCCCAAACGCCTGCGGATACTCTTTTGCAGATGTCGCTGTTTCGCAAATCTCGGCACATGACAAAAGCAAACGAATATCCCGTGGCTTCAACGTTCCTGTGCTGTCGGGCTCGGAAAGCCAAGCTCAACGCGCACAGACGTCATGGTGTAAAGTGCCACAACTTCCTCGGCTCTTGCCAGCATAAATCTGGAGTTTCCTGTGCATGCGGATCAGTAACCAAGAGATTCGAGACAACAAGCCACTGCAGCGTTGCGTGATGGCCAGGTGCTAGGGACTAGAGCCTCCAAAAAGTCTTATTGTCTCGAGTCCCGATGGGAATCAACAAGCGTCTTGTTCACTCAGCAGTCCTCCTGCTAAGCATTCAAAGACCCCTGTCGATGTCACCGTCATGCAGAGAAGGAGAGAACTCCTCCAAGAAGTCGGCTGAGCCGCTCTCCCTCGAAGGTACTTGAACTAAAGATTTCGACGTTGGACACATGTGGCACGGTACAGGGCGCTCCAGTTGAGCTATTTCACAACCCATGTAGATTCACAATTGCTAAAAGTTCATGATTATGAAAAAACTGGTAGTATAGTGTAGCACATGTACACATTATTCATTATCGTTTTGCGTTTTCGACTTGTCTGAAAACCGGAGGCAGTGTGGACAGGCTGACAAAGTGCATGAAATCAGCATGAAAAGCTCACAGCGCTCTGCTGCGACAATCTGAGTATGGACTCATGGCATATGAATCGCCCGAACCGCAAACGTCCTCCTCGGCATTTCGGCATTTCTGCCTGCCGTATTCGGCACAAGATTATGACTATAAAAGGACACAGGGCTCACTCAAGCAGTCACCGCCTGATGCATGCCGGCCTCTTCATCAGGCTTCAGATCTCGTTCCAACACGTACCAGGACATGCTGTTGGTCTTAGGCTGCCGTTTCGCAACGGAAGTCGCTGCTTTTGAGGGTCCCTGACAACAGTAGCGAGCATCGAAGCGATGCTGGGCCGTACAGGTTTAATGGCCATTAACCATGTCGGCCGGATGTTTCTAAGGCCGACAGCTCTGCCATTTCCAACAAGTGAGGGAATTGCAAGCCTCGACATTTTCTCAACAAGGCTCCTGAGCCAACCCTCAGAAAAACATAAGATATCAGATGGAAGGACTTTACCAGAATGATCCGCAATCTTCCCGCATGCTGTGTGCACTTTGAGAAGCTTTGAATGTTCTCGGAGAGGTCGTGCTGGCTTATCGGAAACCCACGAAATCCAGTGTAGCTGAAATTTCGGCCGCCAGGGTCTAAAAAGACACGGTGTTCTCATGCAGTTTTCCACAGAAACTGAAACTCCCACAAAATTTCCCTGCCAAGGATTTCAACTGACAGTGTCACTGTTTTCTGTTCTCCTCTGAAACGCCGCTGCTGCTGCTGCTGCTGCTGCTGCTGCTGCTGCTGCAGCTGCTGCAGCTGCTGCAGCTGCAGCTGCAGCTGCTGCTGCTGCTGCTGCTGCTGCTGCTGCTGCTGCTGCTGCTGCTGCTGCTGCTGCTGCTGCTGCTGCTGCTGCTGCTGCTGCTGCAGCTGCTGCTGCAGCTGCAGCAGCTGCTCCTACTGTTTCTTCTTCTTCTGAATGCATCCCGTCGAAGCCAGTCCTGAAACTTTTGGTCTTCAGCGCGCCTCCGCTTTTACGACCCCCATCTTTCATCTTTCTCTCAAATTTGCACACATCCCTGGACGCATCGAATGCCTGGAACTTGAGGATCACGATCGCAGGACATACTTCACATTTGAAAGGCACGCTGTCAGCTCTCAAGGCATTGCTACAATATTCTGCAGCTTAAACAGTTGAAGTTCCATGGTTGCACTTGCCAGATAATGGATGTCCACCTGTTCTGGAAACAGGCTCTTCTAGACTCGTAGAACAAGCAGAACGGGGTCATGGAAAGAAGAAGTGGGAATGGAACCCGGGGTACCATTGACACATCCAAGTTTTTGTTAGCCGGGGGAAAGCTAGTTGGGACATCCTTCAGGGGTGCACCGGATCAAAGTCTTGTGTCTTGGCTCGGCCGAGCGGGTTCGAGCCCATCACGCGGGAGGCGGTCGTCGATGCGACCTTTGCGGGTTTTTGCCGTGACTCCAGGTCAATGAGCGCTGCATGGTGGTCGCTGTGAGCTGGGTTGCATTGGTGCACAAGTGCGTGTGTAAGGCTTCCAAAAGCTTCTTGTGAACATCACTACTCACTACTGGTTGCAAGCAATCACCCAGCTCTTTCATTCCGCGGGGAGCTCTGAACAATCTGGCATCCACGAGGATCTAAGGAACGTATGACACAAGATGAAACAAGCAATCGGCTAGGTGACTAGGGCGGATCACCGTTCTCAAGTTGCTGACGGCGTTTAGAGTCGAGCTGGGATGTGTGTAATTACCCTTGATTCCAGCCGATGCAAAACCAAACCCTTGTCCCCTCAAGAACTGAATGCAGCAACATTGCTGAGATCATGGATCGCCACAGCCTCAGCTACGTGCATTTTGTTGAGATGGGATCGGATCCATCCAAGGTCCCTCCTTGCAAGGCCCCCCCAAGTCTCTCTAATGGAGCCTCACATGCTATCCTAACTGTCAAACCCCAAACCTCCACAGTGAAATAATTGAAGTGCGTGTGCAAACACACTGTTCGGCTGCTGGTATCATTCATGCACTGCTGAACGCTTCTAATTCCATGAACGATCTTCACAAAGGTTTTCGACTTGTATGCAACATGAACACAAGCCAGCACAGTGAGCGCATGATCCGTGAATAGGTTCCCGAGCTCAGGGAAGCACAATGAGAAAAGAATGAATTGGGGGAACGTACACGTTGGCGACACATGGGCTATGTGTATGTCCTGTGAGATCTGTGCACATACAAAGCCCCAAAAGACCCCCAAGCCCGGCAGCTTCCATATGCTGCGCTCCCTGGGCGTTGCCTTTGGTGGCCTGGCTCGCAAATCCAAGAGTTTAAGTTTCTTCGGCCAGAAAGTCCCGCTTTTTTGGGAACATGCCAGGCTGGGCAAGCGCATGAAAATGCAGCGAGATACACTTCGGTCATTGCCCTAAAACAAATACCTCAAATCCAAGCCCCTTGTGGGTGCTCCTGGTAGCATGATCCTCAGCAATCGTGAAAACACTCCCCATTGGATTCATGGTACGTGTAGAGCCACTGAATCATTACCCTGTCGGCACCTTGTACTTGGCTCCTCAGCGCACGCTGCCTTGGTCGTGCAGTTTTCACGTTCCCCGCTGGCACGTGCATTCGCGCAGTTCAGCTCTGAAGCCAAGGCACCGATGTGTCCGTCTGGACATGTCCTGCTATGTGCAAGGCCAACATGCACTTGCTGTGGGATGCAAGATTTCTGGCCGTTGTCAACAGCTGATGCACTGCTGCACTTGAGTCTTCTGGAGAATAGTCCCCGGATGTGATCTCTCAAATGATATCCTCCCTAAGTGAATAAACTCTGACCCGAGGCTCTGCAGAGCAGTCCTGCACAAGACACGAACTCCTCGACGAACCTGCAAAGAGAACCATGCTCCTGGCTCGCTGACTGGACTGCGTGGAATCGTCGAACGCTTCACACGTGCACAGAACATACCAGCAAGACACGCCCGTGTTGCGTTTAGGGATATGGGTCCTCTGGGCAACCGTTTCAACAAAGAGGGGGGCAACCGGGAGGAGTGTCAGCTGGCCTAGACCTTCAAATGCCCACCATGCTCCAACTAATTCTTTCGGCCCAATAATTGGGGCCCCTGCACTCCTCATCCCTAACTCTGACGATGCAGCCACATGCCGCGCATTATCGGTTGTGGGGACTTGGCAAGCCTCCAAGCACATCCAGGGATGCATCAGTGCCTCCTCTGCTGTGATCCGCCTCACACGCTTCAATGCTCAACGACCATTTCTGGAATATGGTCTGGGAGGATTGAGATGGGTGCATGTATTGTATTTGTATATGGATGTATACATGTATATATACATATACACATATGCACACGTCCCGATGATCCACACCTCGGTTTCAGGCTTCTCTTTCCCGTTTTGACTGTAAAAACTAGCGCTCGTGTATGCATGCCAAAGCCCAATCTAAACAGAATTTGGCCAGAAGGCTGCTTTTGCTACACTCTTCTGGCCTCCGGGATCCCCAAATTTCCCGCAAAACGTCGCATTCAAGATTCCAGCCATCCGACAATCCCAGAATCAAGCATACACGTTGGATTCGCCTGAGCAGCCGCTTGAATAATGAAGGACAGCTACTGGAGCAACTTTGCGTACAGACAGTGGAAATTGGTATTTCTTTCAATTGCGGAACGTCTGCTGCGCACGACCGGCGGGGAGGTTGGGGCACCATCTACGGCGGTTCGTCTTTCGCGGTGAGATTCCGTGGTCTCAAAAGTCGGTCAAAGAATTATCAAAAGAACTCTACACTCTTCAAAAAAATAGCCAAATGCATTCTGCATAGCAAAATCGTAAAATGGCCTGAGCAAGTCCCGGTCGAGGAGGTCCTCCAGCAAGCAGACGCAGGCCTCTGCATCTGGAGGTAAGAAGACCACAGGGCCACACCGCCAATCGTCATTTGCTTGCCATCCTAGCGGTCTCCCGCCTGGCCATCCGCAGGTTCTTCCGAGAGATTCTTAACAAGATTTGATTTTGGTGGACACCCCCGAAGCTTCAGTTCTGAGTTGGAGCCCAGCCCAATGCCTGGCTCGTGTTGGCCAGAACACCAGCAGGCCGAGTCGGTATCTGCCGCCTAGTTGGAGGCTGTGAAATGCGGAAACGCTCAGAAAGTGGTTTTTGGACTTGCAAGGATCCTTCGCCGTCGTTCTGCAAAACCAAGCATGGCTTTCGTCGGGGCTGCGGTCTGAACTCCACAGCCCACCTCCAACAGCAAGCAGATGCTGTCCTCAGACCTCCAGCCCTACTCGCCTTCCATCTCCGGCAAAGCATTCTCAACCCGCCTACTAAAGCCACAAAACAAACTCGTAAATGCTTTAAGTTTTAGATTCTAGTTTTTATATGCCACATAACTTAAACCATCTTCCCTTGCTGTGTTGTCCGTGTCAGGGTTCATATTTGTGTTGGATGCCAAGATCAAAATAAGGTCAAGAGAGACGAAACAAGAAGCAATGGAAGTTGAACAGTCCTGACAAAGTTAAAGGGTACCGGCAAAAGTTTGAAAAAGAGAACAAGGACGAAACAATGAAAAGAGAAAGGCAGTATAGGCAAAAGCGAAGAAGGACAGGCAAAGATACGAGAATGCACATGTACCAGTATCATTCGAGTTATGCGATTATGACATTCAACAGTAGAAGAAAACACAACACGAGAAGTCCAAAAACCACCGAGACTTCTTGCAGAAAAGTCTGAACAGTGAAAAACTGGAACGACCAGATACAAGGGAAATGTATCTTGGTATGGAATATTTCTGCTGCTTGAACTGCAAGAGGAAAGAAAGATCATGACTGGTATCAGCATGGGTCCAGAGAAGAACATATCACAGCAAGGTAAGATGGCTTGAGTCATGCGGTATATAAAACCTCGAGCTTAAAGCATTTCTGAGTTTGTTTGTGGCAATGCTTTGGTAAAGGCGAGCAGGGCTGGAGTCCGCCTGGAGGTCTGAGGACAGCAGCTGACCATATAATACCCCCCCAATCCAAAGTTGCCCTTCTGTGGGCGCCTCAGCGTTGCCTCACAAGTCTCGGACAGGGTGTCCTGGCGGTGCTCTATGCTATTCCTGTTTTCTGCTATCCCTTCTCATATCACTGTTGCTACATACTGGGTCGACATGGGTCGACGGTGCATGATGGTGCCTGTTCCGCGCCATCAACCACGTCCATGCTACTAACATGGCCAGCACACCCCTTTCAGCAGAACACGCGCTGGCTGAGCTGCGTAGGGAGTACTGGAAGTGCACTACCACACGGGTTTGGTCACCTACACAGCCATGAAGACACCATCACATGCACGCCCGTGCAGAAATTCGGTCTCGCGGTAGCTTGAGCTAGGATTCTCACTGAAGTATCGCACGTACTGCGCCCAAACACCAGCTCGCAGGGTATGTTGAGTCTTGACCAATGCAAACATGGCCAAACCTCAGAACTGACTCCAGGATAATCTTCGTATTCCAGAGATGGTGCAACGGCACATTTAGGTCAGCACTGCCTCCAGAAATGGATGAAAGCCGGTGACCAAGAGATACAGAAGCACACCGAGCGAAAAAATATCCTTGGATCTGCCAAGTGGATCAAGGCAACGCGTCGGGAGCCTTTGCCCGAAGCTGCTAGGCTTGGGAGGGCTTGGGGTGTTTTGGGTATTTTGGGTAGCGAGTCCGAGTTGTTATATTGTCCTTGGCCGTGGCCTGGGGCTGTTAGCAAAAGACGCACGACAGAACACTGTAGAATGCGCAGCTGCTGCACTGAAGGGGCAAAGATATCCAGTAACAAGGTCATTTATTGATGTCGAGACAGTAACCTGCCAGACGTTGTCCAAACAACCACATGCTTAGTTCAAGCGCAAATTGCGAGCCCCTCTACACAATGTGCAGAGGCGATCGTCCGTGAAAGGCGGCCAAGAAGCAGAGGCACTCGAGCCCTTTTGGAAGGCATGAACCTTGGAACGGACACTGAGCTCATGTTTATTTTGTGATGTGCGTTTCACGTTGCAGTGACGCTGGACCCTTCAACAACGCGAGACCTGAAATCTCCACCCCAGGCCATCCTAGGGAGAGTCATCGAGAGGGGATGGTCACAAAATGTAACGTGGGTTTTTGTGGGTTTCAGAATCTCGCTCCCTGTTGGGCATCTTTCGGCTTGCCGTCGATGTTTCGAATGCTGTAAATAGCAGTCTATATGTTCGCGAGAGATGCTCTGACATGTAGCATTTCCCCACGTGCAAAATCGCCACTCCCACGGTGTTTTCGAAGCTTCAACATTTCTCATTGCTAATGTAATGGGCCCTAAGTGACTGCGCATCAAGCAGGGGGGGTTTAATCTCCACCCACCACCACCCCCACTCCCCACCACCACCCCCACTCCCACCCCCCACCACCCACCGGCACCTCACTTGCAACAGTGTTGCATGCTGCTACGAGTCCGTCAAATATGCAGTTTCACGCGCGTTCGTCCAGATCTTCATGTACAAGTATGAGTGTGGGAAATCCAGGAATCTTGGGATAATCGGTGGCGCTCTCTGCGAGATTCTCAAAGGGGTGGGCAGAGATATTCGGGGACCCCAAAAAACTTTAAAACCAACAACCTCAGACCGAAACTGTAAATTACACCGGCGAAGACCCCAGAAAGCTGGGGAGACTCTTTCAGAATAAATAGAAATTTACCCTCGCTGTTGTGGCAATGCGCTTCACATGTCTTGGCGTTGCCGAATCAGAGGGCTTGTACAAGGACGCGACGTGCCCTTATTCAGCCAGAACACTAATAGCTAAAGCTATTCGGGCAAAAAATGTAGCGGCGGCAGCCGCTTCTGCCACAAGAAACGTTACAATCTCGACATGAAAACAAGCGAGAAAGATGAGGGAAGTCAGTGGAACTTATAGTAAGCTAGCTGGAAGGATATTAGAAGTTAGTAAATACGCGTAACGACCTATAAGTTAACTTTACTCAAGTTCTAATAAGTTCCAGTAACGGCTTATAAGTCACGATAAAGCCTGATAACGTGCTATTTAAAAACGGTCCACCTCAGTACATGCCTGCATGCCTGCGTGCCCCTGCGCCCCTTCCACCAGCCGCGGACGATGCACTCCCTACTGCCCCACCTACGTGCCACGTCATGCCACATGCACCCCCTCTGCATGCTATGGCTGCTCCCCCTCCACCGGCCACGGACACCGCACTCCCTACTGCACCTACATGCCACCTGCACCCCCTCCTGCATGCCACGCGCATGCCTGCATGCGTGCATGCGTGCATGCCGCCTCCCCCCCTCCACCGGCCGCGGACGCCGCACTCCACCCCCTCCTGCATGCCACCTGCATGACTGCATGCCGCTGTGCCCTCTGCGCCGGCTGCGGACGCGAAAAGCCCTATTTAGCTAGAACCCCTAATAGCTAAATTTTCAAGCTATCTGGGGAAAAAATCTTCCTTCGCATACAGCGAACCAGCACAGGAGTTCTCAGCTCTGAGGTTGGCATCCGAATTTCGTCTACTCTCTTCTCAGGATTGGGTTCTCCTGCGGCGAGATCCGGCCAGGAGACTGACTTAAAATCCAAAAAGCACACACCCAGAGCGCGGACAAAAACACGCACAGAAAAACGCCAGCTTCAGCAGAACAGCATGTGTGAATCGTGCACCGACCTCATTTAAACAACTCCGGCAATTTCGTGATGGGACAGAACTACAGTGACACCTTGCCCCTGAACCCCTTGAGCCCCGCACCTTCGAACCCTGAAACCTCAAAGCCCACCTCCGGGGCCATGAAGCCAAGCGTGCCACAAGGCCAATCCTCGGAGTGAGCGAAGACGGTGAGTAGTGAGGGGCAGAAGACCTTCAGAATGTTGACAGACATAGTGACGTAGTGCGTATAAGGCAACGACATTCCCACATCCTACTCAAAATCCTACAAAAGCATTTGGCTTGAACACTCGCAACATCCCGAAACTCAACTCGGAGATGTGCTGCTTGGCTGTGACTCGACAAACTTCACATGGAGCTGGCGATGGCTTTGTGCCGCTTGCTTTTTGCTTTGTTGCCTGCAGCCCCCGGAAAGAAACCACGACGCCGCCCGATAACGCAGTGCTGTGGTGCTCTGTAGTGACACACTGTAGTGCTCTGCTGTGGGTCGATGGTGGCATCATCTGGTGGAATTTCTGCCGCCAACTCCTCAGCTGTGTCAGCGAGTGCGGCGGCATTCTCGTTACCAGTGCAATACACTCTTCGGACGACTACTACAACTACAACTACTTTAGGTTGCAGACTTGCGATGGTACCTGCCTCAACTTGGGAACGAAACAGGCCCCCTACGCAAACTGTCCAGTTGTGGGGCCAAGTCCGCCAGAACCACACGATTGCCACCATCAGCGACCATGACATTTGCGTGCTTCACCTCAGTGGCAGAAAGGCTAGGGACACTCAAGTCGGAACCATCAGTTGTGTCAGAACCGAATCGCTAATATGACGGGATGCTGCGAACCCAAATCTGACCCATTAGTCACGAACGGACCGCTCCGAAAGGGGCGCGGATGATCACAGGTGCCGAGCTCTGCTTTGGCTTGGCTGTTTGGATAAAACATTCGTTGGTGGCTCAGCATATGGCTTGACTCGACTGCCTGAGCTGCTGGCCAGCTTCTGCAGAAGGCGTGACCGTCTAAAGCGCCGTTTGGGGCAACCCGAACACCTGTTGAGGAGATTTCTAACTGCAAGTTTGGGATGCCAGTGAAGCTGTCAGGCGCGCAGCCCTGGACCCCTCGAACTTCGAACCCTTGCCGGAGCCTCTAACAACTGAAAAAAGGGACTCACATGACCCGCTGACATCTCTGCAATCCCAAGCTCTCACAAACCCTAATCCAACCCTTGAGATCAGAACTTCCAGAACTTAGAGAAACCCCAGAAGCCCCACCCCCGAACCACCCGAACCACCAGCTCGCCATTCCACTCATTCAAGCATGGGGCATCGCGATGCACAATTCTGAGTCGGTGGAGGTGCGCCAGTGCCCTCAGAACCGCTGCCACGGCGACTGCTGCCTACGAGACCCAAGATCTTCTCTGGGTTTAGGCGTAGGGTTAAAGCACTTTAGGGCTTAGTAAGCTTAGCTTTTTGAATCAAATTGTGGCACTCAAGCCTCTCTCGCCTTCCCTCGCCTGATTCAATGCCACACAACCCTGCACACAGTAACCTGGTCTTACTGCTTCTTGGGCAATCACCGAAGCAACTACAACGAGTATAAGTGTTGCGTGCAGCGAGCCACCATGAAGTTTAGGTTGCCACCTGTTGTTCCAGGCACAGCCTTGCTTCGGGCATTCTGCTCAACATGAGAAAGCCAGTAAGGACTCCGTGTCTGCCAAAAAGTTGTTCGGCAGCTCGGCCTCTGGTTCCGTGAAGTCACGAAGCCCTTTCAGATCCTCGGCACAGGGGCTACGCTGCTACTACACAACGTCGATGCAAGACTTGAAACGTTTCGAATCTTAGGCTGCGAAATGCGTTATCAGATGCATTACAGGTTCCAGGGCCGGTGAGGGGAGCTTTGATACATGAGTTCCTCTGATATGACACTCCAAGGGTCGCGAAGGCTACATTCACATCGCTCCATGACCAAGAAATGCATCGGCAAATCGTCCACCTTAGCTGAATCAGCCTTATCGGTCACCTATGGACACCCGTGTCTACTGCCTCTGCATGTCCAATGGACCGGTCTTGCTGGGGCCTGGTCCGTTCTTAAGGCCACTGCTCTGCTCCAAAAAATCTTTCTTCTGTACTCGAAATCCATCTGTGCCCAGACACATCGCCAGGCAGCACTCTTCGAGATTGGCACGCCCTGGGGCGGACCTGCCAAGAATATGTTCCTAGGAGATTCTTGCTGCTTTTGAGTAATGCAGGGGCTCTCCGGTCCAGCGACTTCCAAGCTGGGACAAGACCGTGCTCAGGAAAACTATGGGAAACTATACAATTCTCGAGGAATGTGGTGCTTCGATCACGCATCCGAAAGCACTGAAGGTGCCCCAACGGATCCATGAACAATCCCCTCAGGTTGTGGCATGAAGCCTACACCAGCGCTTGTGCATACTTGAGTGTGAGTGTGGGGTCGGAGCAGGTTCCAAGAACCGAAGCCCTGTTTTGGCCGCAAGGCCACCTTCCGAGCGAAGGTGCCGAGCAAGTCCTGGACAGAGGCTACGCACTGCTTCGATGCCTTTCGATGCCTTTCTGATTCTTGCCATGGGCCGCTCATGGCACTCCGAGGGGTGCTGACTCTCGTTGCTGCAGACTAGTCTGTGGTTCAACATTCTCAACATCTTGAAAAAGTAGATAGCGCCCAATCCTCCCGTATGAGATCTGAAACACTCGTGATGAATACTGACCTGCAGCTTTTAAACTTTGGAACATCAAGAGCCCTGTGGTTAGACATGTGAACTCGAACACTAAACGCAAGCAAAAGCAATTTCAAAAAAAAACTGCAGGTCAACACAACAGCTTCTACTTGCAGCGTTGTTCTGGACCAGATCCACTCTGACCACTCTGTCGTCGAGCAAGTCTGTTCCAGACTACGCTGTGTACTTTGACCTGTCCTGGCCAGATCTGTGTCCAGCTGCAACTGCTGTTGTGGCTTCTCTCAAAATGCAGATTCAGGGTGTCACAGCAAGAACAATAACAACAACAGCATCTACAAATCCAACCGACACTTCTTCCACGAAGGGCCCTCGCAGTATGGCTTGAAACGCCCATACTTAAAGCACCCTGTGTCGAGTCCTGAGAGACCCCGCTCTTGGCACGAAAGAGCCCGTAGCTGCACACGATGGATGGATGACCTTCGCAGCTTGCGACGCGTGGAGGTCTTTGTGATACCCACAGAATTGCTGCAGCTTGCGAATCAAGAGTAAAGGACTTATAAAGTTGAAAGTGACATGCTTTGTTTTTCCTGTTTTTGTCCGGGCCCTTTAAGTCGTGCTTTTCGGCCTCGAGCTGCAGCTAGAATCCTTGCTTCGTGGATGGCAAGCTCCACAGGCTGCACGCCGGTGCCCTGTGCGAGGTTCACGAAGGACAAAGCGCTTGACCGCTGGACCCTGAATAACCAACATTTCTCAACCTTGAAGGATGCCTCACAAAATCTCACAAACGACCTAGCATGTGCGCACTGGCCAGTAACTCTGCGTTGCGACAGTCTGGGCTTTGTCTGCATCCTGCTCTGCTCACGGCACTTGGTAAGTCTACTGTGCTACAGTGCTATACTTATACCCCACGCGACGGCACGCGACTCTTGCGCACTAGTAGCGCCACCTTCTCGAGCCGGAAGATCTTTGCCACCAGGAGGTGATCGTCTGCTTCGCCATCAGCTTCATGCTGCCAAGCGAGTCATGAGGGAAAGGTCACTCAACCTAAGAGCAAGACTCTAAGACTGGCATTGTGGAAGTTGCTCACGAAGTCTTAGAGTCTAAGAGCCACTTACCACATGAAGCTCGAATGGTAAACATAAGCGGAGCACTCAATTCCCCAAATGCTGGGCTGTGTCCAACCACCCAGAAAATCCAGGACTCCCCCAGCGGGCAGAATGGATCCAGAACTACTACGGACCAGTGGGCCATGAAAAAGAAACCGCGTCCTCTGAACATGAAGAAAGGAAACCCAGGTGAATCCAAGCTCTGATCCCTCCATTCTGGCTTTAAGCCTCCAATTGCCGGCCTTGTAGCCCGAGCCGACTTTAACAAAGGAGTTCACTGCATGAACCACAGCAGAAGCTCCTGGAAAGGCACAGTTTAACCCAAAGGCCAGGATGCATGTGGATTAAGGCATCACGTAGGGTCTAGGGGGATTAGGGCTTGTCGGGGGCCTGACCCGGCGACTTAGCATGAAGCTCAGGGCGGAAGTGCATCGCTGCTCGCTTGATTGGCTCAAACGTTCGTCACTTTCAGTGGCTTCAGGATCCCAGCAATGCCTTGGCCAACCAGATCGCCCAACGTCACCTGGACTGTCCGGGTGCTCGCCTCAGGGATGCTCATGCTTTGAGGCACCAAGTTGTAACGCCACGAGAATCACTAGAATGAAATCAGGCGGGCATGGTGAACGGAGGCTGGGTATGGCCAGATGCCTGTTGTGCAGGGGCCGGGATCCTTCACGTTGTGTGCCATGATGAGACGCTCTCAGAAGGCTTTGGGGTCAAGGTTTGCCCGACCGTTCTACACGGGCCTTGCTCAACAAAACATCTTCCCTGAATGTGCTTTCTTACTTCCCTCATGTCCCGTTGTGTCTGCCTCCTACACGTCAGCGAGGCCTTGCGGTTGTCTTTGACCATCAGCTATTCGCACACGCGCATTGCAACTGTTGCTCAGTGCATTCCCACAAGAGCAGAGCTGCATGCGGGAACAGCATCGAGCAAATCACGAGCCTCACAGAGAAGCAAGCTACAGTAGCACCAGAGAAGGAATGGAAGGCCAAGCCCGACGGCCCATGTGCCGCAAGTGAAGCTTCATCGTTGGGCATGGCCGTGGCGCAAAGAATCCTTGAAAAAAAGTTCCCAAGAAGATTGCGCGGAGCACAGAAGACCACGACGACAACTCGAAGAAACCTTTGACCGGGATTCAATCTAGTAGCTTGGATTTTCTGCTACAGCACCACGACGAGTCCGCCTCGCGCAAGGAAAGGTCGAGTAACGTGGTCGAGGGCAACAGGCCCACCACAGCATGCGGAACAAGCTGCGCAGTTGCTGCCGTGAGCTTCAGTCGTCATCAGGGAAGGGCAGCTGTCGGGCTTGGAGAGCAGACCGTGCGAGAGGAACCCTTCTTCAGTGGCGAGTCGCGGCGAGGCATGGGAACTTCTGAACAGAATCATCTTTCAGTCCAGCGAGGGTGGGGAAGCAGCAGAAGTCCACACAGGAATCGCTGCCACCATGACTGGCACCATTCCCTATCCCGAGAAGCCTTATATAGGACATGTACGCTCGCACTATTGCCTTTGAATCACCCTCAGCAGCCCTGTCAAATGTGAATTTGCAGAATTTGCCCCGGATCTCAATACGGGAGGCCAACAAATGCGTTTCTGGCTATTGCGGAAACCTCTAAACTCTAAACCTCTAGAACAGGCAGAGGAGCTTTAACAAATTACAGCCCGCGCTGAGCTCTCCAGCCCCGCGCCTCCTGGCCCAACAGGAACACAGCCTCAGCGAAGAAGTCCAAGACAAGGGCCTGGCAGGTTGCCGGCTTCCCTTCCGAAGCATCCCCACATCCTACAGGCGGGCTGCTCAATTAAGCCTCCCTCCAGCTCGCACCTGAGGCAGTCAACCGGTTCCCGAAACTGCAATCGCACACACCTGGCGGAGCCGAAAAACCTGGTGCCTGCTCCAACACGAAGATTCAGAACCCTCTCAGAGCAACATACGCTGAAACGTCTCTACCGTCTCTGCGTTCTGTCCTCTCCACAGCCCTCAACCCCGGACCAGGGGCGCGACAACCTGACAAAAAACGAGAGAATTTCCCCAAAGCAAGCCTTGGAGCAGGTTGCCCGAGGCTCCATCATGGGCTTCTGTGTTCACTATGAATAGTAAACTCCACACTGAATGAAGTCCTGCTTCTTGTGAGCATCCCTCGAAAAAATGCTGTCGCTGCTTTCATTGAAAGTCCTTTACAGCCTTTACATGTACATCCTCACATGATGACATGCTCCCTTCGCGAGCCTTGAAGCTCGATGGATCCAGACACTGCGCACGAGCACCCTTCTAGCTTTTCTACACGATTTCCGGCGGTGTTGCGGAACGGCTGCATCTTCATGAGGGCACAATTTGCACAATCTCTTGAGGGGCAAGCCGAGCTCGACGAAACTTGCCCAAGTGCGTTTCACCGCTTGCAACCCCAACCCCTCAACCCCCACACTTCTGGATTCCTACACCTCCAAACCCCACTGCACCCCTGAACCTCCCCTACATACACCTCTAACCCCTGCACGCTGACAGGCAGATACACCCATACGGTGTTGTTATTGCACTTGTTTCTTGGGTTGGATTCTCCCCTCATCCGATGATAGAAGTCATGGCTAGTAGCTTTCCGAACCTTGTCCAGTTACCTCAAAGGCTCCGCTACGTTTTGTCATCTGCCTTGTCCATCCCTGGCTCCCTCGATCCGTGAACCAGTCGCGTTAGTCTCGCCAGATGCCAGTCCAAGGCTCAGCTGGCCACTGCACAGCGACACGCTTTCCCCGAAGACGCTGAGTTCGTCGATTCGGGCGACTTGGTCCCCACCACAGGCCTTCCAGAACAAAGCACGCATCTTTTTTGCCCACAGCGGTCAGGATCCTCGCCAGTAACGACTTACATGCAGCAATCATTCAAGCCCTTGTTGGGCGCAAGGTTCTGGGATCTGCACTAGAGTATTTAATCCCACCTCTTGCTGCGGCGTCTTGAGAACGACAAATGCGAACAACTTTTTCGAGTCAACCTCGCGCACTTAGTGTGAAAGAGAGAGAGAGAGGGAGGAGTCTTTGGGTCTCTGTGTGTCTCCGTCTCTCTCTCTCTCTCTCTCTCTCTCTCTGCTTTTGCCTGCGTGCGTGCCTGCGTGCGTGAGTGCGTGCGTGCGTGAGTGGGCGGGCGGGTGGGGGTGGGTGGGGGTGGGTCGCGTCCGTGCGTCCGTGCCTGGGTCTGGGTCTGTGTCTGTCTCTGTGTCCGTCTCTGTGTCCGTCTCTGTGTCTGTCTCTGTGTCTGTCTCTGTGTCTGTCTCTGTGTCTGTCTCTGTGTCTGTCTCTGTGTCTGTCTGTGTGTGTAGTGCGTTTGCCTGCACGTTCGCGCTTGCGTGCGTGTGCGCGTGTGCGCGTGTGCGCGTGTGCGCGTGCCGTGTGCGCTTGTGCGCGGGAGCCTTGCAAAATGTGCAAGTTCTGTATTCCGGAACTCTGCCACTCTCTGCCACTAGCATCCCCAAGCCTTGAACTGTTGCAGTGACACCTTCGGGCTCATCGCGGAAGTTGCCAAGGCGCCTTGGCTGGGGACTTTGCCTCGTCAGCCGACCACTCCTGCGTTGCACATAATCCCCGACTGCCCTGTAAAAAGAACTATCAGTAACATTCAGTAACTATCAACCCATGCACACATGTGGACCCAGGCTTTAGGACACAGGTGAGCATGGTGAGCAGTACAGCTCTCTGGACTGCAGGTTGGTACAACGGAAGCAGAACGCAGCCTCAGTTTGGCAAGCCGCGAAAAAAGTGACATTGCAATGAGGACACTCTACTTCTGGCCTTTGGCCCACGTGACATCCAGCACCAGGCAAACCAGGCCGAAGCAAAACTTAAACTCGCCGCTGTTGGGGGTGTCGAGCTGTCCAAACTGTTGTTTCGTATATGGGCGAGGGGTACGAGATGGTCTGTGCCCAACAATTTTTGGTCATGCCCGCCCTGTCCTTCAAACTTAAGGCTTGCGGCCGCCTGATGACAAGAGCTTGAATTTCCCAGTGATGATGCAAGTCGCTCCAGGGTTTCGGGTGCGAATCTGCTGCACATGTTGTACCATCCGGGACTGCGAGGTTTTAGGAACTCTTTTGTCTGGAACGGGAACCCCCCCTGCCTCGGTACCAGGGGACCATGGATGGGGGGCGGACACCGTTTTCCTGCTACCCGTCCCTCAACCCCCCGCCTTCGGCTGCTCCCCCCAGCCCCCGCCCCCCCTCCCGACCCTGCAACAAGCGAGCTTTCCTGCAAGTTGGCGACCTGGCTTAGTCGCTGAACTAGAGAGACAGAGAGAGAATGCGAGAGAGAGAGAGAGAGCGAGGGGGAGAGAGAGATAGAGAGAGGCAGAGGAGAGGAGGAGAGAGGCAGAGGAGACAAGGAGGGAGAGGAGAGAAGAGGAGGGAGAGGCAGAGGGAGAGAGAGACAGAGGGAAAGAAAGCGATAGAGATCAAACGTCACACATCTGGATATATTTAGATGATCGCTTGGAGATATGCCGGCGCTGCGGGCACCTTTGAGAGGGACTCGGTATCACTCGTTTTTCACAGTGTCGGCGTTAAGCCGACTTCAAAACCGCAGCAGATACCGTCCTTGTCTCCCTCCTCGCGCGTCAAAAACACGCCGTCCACCTTGGTCTCCTTGGAATCTTGAGGGTAATGTGCACAATCTGCTTTTGACGGAGACAGACCATCACGCTGTGAGCATGACGGATGCAGCGGCCACTGGGGCCTCTCGGACCCCTCGGAAGATCTCCGGCTATGGTATCGTTCAAAGCTGCCAGATCATCAACGGACATGGTGCCGCTTTAGAAACTAAGAGGGCTTCATGGTTGATACGCCGGGCTCGTCTCTATCGGTCTTAGTTTTGGCAAAGCCAAGTTGACGACAACGAGTGTTGAACCCTGCTGCACCTCTTACATGCGAAACGGCAAGTTTGACAAGCTCACTTTGAGACGTCACCTGTCCCTGGGTTAGCTCCGAGAATCTTGGGGTACGCTGGTTCGTCGCATTTAGGGATATGTGGGTCTCACGAAAATCCAACTTTGCTAAAAAGTCCGTGGGAACATGCTGCATCACAAAGAAGATGTGGCACTCTCAAGCCAAAGAGAACATAAAGGACTCAAGGATGACGTAGAGCCTTAGAGTCCTGGAGTAAGCACACAAGTACGAAAACTTTGAGAGCATCCGAGGCTCGGGAAGGGTGCCGCTGTGGTTTGTGCAGTCCAACGCCGAGCCTGCGCTGGGCTTCCGGGACTTATGAAGATCGACAAAACAGGAGATTTACGACACCCATAACCGCCATAACCTTCGTTGTCTCACCAAACATACGCTAGTCCACTCCATGCGCAGAAAGCTGCAGAAAGGTCCCCTTAACGAACCGGGCCTAGCTTGTCGCTGCCCAAAGGCAGTGTCTCCAAACTCAAGAAGTTAGATAGCGCAAGCTCATTCAAGGTCTCCCACAATTCCCTGAATCAACCTTAATTACAGGCCTGACAGGTCAGGGTCTTCTCCAAACCCTGAATGTGCTTTTGGGAGTTTAGTCACCTCTGAAGCAATGCTGAGAGGGGAGAGGGGCATCTGATGCGTGGGAGGCTGTCGGCCTGTGCTCCACGCGATGCGCTCCACTCGCGCTGTGCCGTCTGCGAACTCACACTGTAGGGACCTCGAGAGGCATGACTCTCAAGTTGCACGGGGTAATGCGCGTGTGAAGGTGCGACACTTAAGGAAAAAACATGTGGATGAACTTTCACGCCGTTCAGGACACGTCTTGGATAACATCTGAGCTTCTGAGTGCCTGTTGCCGGCCAAATCTTGGTCAGATGTTCTCACAGCGAGCTGAGGTTGCGGCAGCATACCTGAGGCATGTCTGCTGCAGTGTGCAGCAGCTGTTCAGGGGTGTAGCATGCCTTGTCATCGCAAACGCCCTGAATCAGCTTGATTTACAGACAGGGACCGCCTCCAAGTAAAGAAGCCTTCGGGTCACCATGAGTGCATTGCTGACTCGGCTCTGCCTTGAACTGATTGGTCGGATGAATCTTCGGTCCAAAGACCAGACACCTAAATTAGCTGACCCCTCCAAATGCCGACGCAGCCCTGAGCGCGCTATTGCAGGCACCATGAACCCCACCACAGGGGGGAAAAGAAACAAACAGCACTTGGCGCAGTCTGCATTGTCTGCATTGTCTGCATTGTCTGCATTGTCCACGCCCCACTGCGAAGCTGGCGCGAAGAGGCGCTGACGCACCACTGAGTTTGGAAATGCAAATGCAGCTGCACCTCCAATGCGAGAAAACGGGAGATACCAAGACTTTGCACTTGCCAATACTTGCCATGATTTTCAGGGACCTTCTTGCAGGACCCCCTATGGTCTCCGACTTGGCGAGCTCTAAGTTCCCGGAAGCCTGGTGAGGTTTCGAGGTACCGGCTCGAAAGCAGTGTCTTGTGCAATGCGTCGTGCATCTTTGTGCGCTCTGTGCAGCATTTTGTGCGCGGAACGGACTGCTACGAACCCCACGCCTCATTCCCTGACACTACCTGGTGACTGGCCAGGGCGCTATGTTGCTGCGTCGAGCGGTAGATGGCAACACTGGATTTGTTGCCTCAGTCGGTCTGAGCTTTGATTGCCACGCATACTCCAACTGAGAGAGAGCTAAACATAGCAAAAACAGTAGCTGTCGACGGGTGTATGGCCGATGGTGGCGGCGCACGAACGTGCCGGACATCAGCTGCAACTGACTTTTTACGAATCTAAGCAACTTGACCTCTTCTACAGCCGAGTAGGCTAGGAAGGCGCGAATGCAGACTGGTGTGCCCAGAACGTATGTAAGTAGGTACTTCACAATCCAGACCGACCAGCGAGTTTCCTTCTTTGTCTTCCAAGTACGCAGCCGCTGCTCTGCGGGGGCTTGGGGGGGGTGAATTCGATCGTTGGGATCAGGACCACTGAAGACATGGCACAAACACTGTCGGCGAGGTGATGCCTACCAGTGAGAGCGTCCCTATTCAATGCCAGAGTGGGTCGCTGAACAGCCGGGCTGCCATCGCTCGCAAACTCAGCCGGATTGGTGTCGTTGTCCAGGCTGAGATCCTGCTGTGCGCAGCTTGCGAAAAAGCACGCAATGAGCGGCCAAGCCTGCGGGGCTGCACACGGAGGAAAACAACAGCAAAAGGACATCTCTCCTAAGCTGATAACACTACCGACACTACCCTCCTAGATTGTTTGGCCCTTGGCCTTCTCGACCCGTCATGACCCGTCTCAACCCGCCGCTTCCTCAGTCGAGTTCCCTTCGCTTGTCTCAATCCATTTGCAGTTCGCCAGCCTGAGCAGACGGCGCATTGCAGCTTCCTTTTGCCTACCCGATTCCCCGGAATCACTCGGAATTGCCCTGCATTACCCTGTTCCGAGCAATCAGGTTGACAGAAGGCCGCACATGCTTCGGTTTCTCCCTCCCTAAAATGAGGCAGGGAGCTTCAGCGGTGCCGACCCGGCAGCAAGCCACAGCCTTGAGAGGCAAAAGTCCGTCCGGCATTCTGCGTATGCCGGCGAGAAAGAAACACAACACGCCCCGAGAGAACACTCCCGAAGCGCGCCAAAGAACACTCCGACTGACCTCTCTCTAAACAAAGCTCCCCCCCAAAACCACTCAAAGACTTCAAGAGCCCAAAGTTGATGAGACAGTAGAGAGGGTCATTTGCAACCCACGACGAATCATGTCTTTATATGACCCTGGAACGGAATCACGACGCTAAACCATCCAAGAGCGCAAAACGCATGAGCGTGCATCCTGGCCACGTTTTTCACAGGCCCCACAAAAAAGTGCTTGGGACCTAGACGACTTCGTCCAAACTGTGCACGGGACCTAATCGAGCGCGCGGCTTGGCACCCGGCACGAAGTTGAAAAGCAAGCTACCTACGATGATTGGGAGGCCTTTTCACTGCTTGTTGGCTCTGCCGAGCTCACGGCGCCTAGGCGAGAGAGTTACGGGCATGCGGAAAGGGTCATCGTTCGCGCCATGGGAAAGGCGCATGGCGCCGGGAAACACTGAGGCGTGCGCGCCCCGCTGCGGACCATTGGGGAACTCTCGGGCTCTTGGATGGACTTTTCGAATCGAGGTGTGTTGTAGCTGGCTGTCATGCACAACAGACTCCAAGTGTCGGGCCAGGTGCAAGCAAGTGCATTTAGCAGACACCTGCCAGGCTGTCGAGGTCTACACGCTTAGGCAGTGATTTTCAGCATGTGCCCCGATGCAAACAACTCCGGGGCTTGGTAGGACAGCTCTTGCTTGCGCACACAAGCAAGTTCTCAAATCGCTAAACTGTTTCAACTGATGCTATAAGGCTGAAGCCGTCCAAATTCCGAATCCACCGACTTGAAAACTTCCTTTCATTCAGCGCAAAACAGGCTCTGGCAAGCCCTTGCCCCAACCCCGCCCCCCCAATCCGCGCCGGCGCATGGCTAGCAGCACTTTGCGGTTCGAGAGGCAGCCAATGAGCCAACGGCAGTGTGAAGAGGCGAGGTCAGGCCGCTGGGGCTTGTCACACCCGACTTCAAGCTTGCACCTCTGTATGCTACGTCAGGCAAGTCACCGCCAGAGCCTCGCTCCCTTTCTCTGGTCCGCACTTCCGCAATGCCTGTCCTACATGTACTCACGTGGGCGAACTCTTGCGCCGAGTCACAGCAGTCACAAACCCTTCGGGTGCTGAGAGGCATCGAATTCGCACATGGGAGGAGGCTCCAGCCACAATTCTGCACATATCGGGACCCCCCTGAAGATCGTACTGATCTGGGAAGTCACCGTCTCCTCTCCCAGGTGCCTGCGCACGACGGCGCTCCGGGAATGTGGGCACAGCCTTTGAAGACGGGACATCATTCTAAGAGTCTTTCCCCCCCATTCTCTGCCAGACCCTACGGTCCTAAGGTCCTAAAGATTGGATAGCTGAAATCCCGCCTGTGCCCACAAACCCCGAGCATCCGATGCTGCAGCTATCTGTTAAAACTCAACCCAGCAAAATGCAAAGCCGCGAAGATCTGCGGAGATCTGCGAGGCTCAAGGAGATGAGAGGGTCGCTACCGAAGTGACACTTTCGGGCTCAGCTTCCGGCTGGGAGTTCGAAGCCGTATTCACAGCGGTTCGCAAGTATCAGGTTCACAATCAGCCGTTGATCGGTACTCTTAAGACTCACGGGTCTCCCGTGTGGAAGCACAGCTTCAACTTTGGGGGGGGGGGGGGGGTTGGAGGACCTGCTTGCGAACCCTCAAGTGGATCGTTAACAGTTTTGCCAACTGCACGCACAAGGGCCATGTGGCTTTGGCTTGCTTCTCAAGCGAGTTGCTTATTTACATCTTTTTGGTGGTGGAGATGGAGTAAATGATGGTATATGGGATGTCTGATATAGCACGTTTCCGTACTTGCTGCCTGCATGCGTACCTACAGACACACATAATACATATATCTATATATATGCATACATACATACATACATACATACATACATACATTTTTATATGGTACATACATACTTATGTACATGTCTACATCCACAGATATGTGCGAAAATGTATGGACTGTCGGCTTCTCAGTTCTTCCGGCGGCGGCGGCCCGAGCGGCGGCCACTCGCCTCTCCATGCCTCACAACGAAGGGCCACCAGGGCTAGGCCCATCATGAGTATCATGAGTTGAGACGCTCTCTAGGGCTTCCGGCTGCAAATGCACAGCAAGAGTGGCCTGGTACCCTCAAATAACGGGCATGAAGTGCCCTTCCCCCAAAGCGCGGGCGGGCTTTCTTCTTTCTGGGACCTTTGGTTCCCTTAATTACGCATCTCGCCCAGTCCCCCTAGTCATCCACAAGACCTACGTTGAGGGGACACAGAAGGTGGCCCTAAGGGCCCATGTACCCAGAGGGTGTCTGCTTGGGCCTAAAGTGGCTGTAGGGCCCAAGTATGTGCCTCATGGGTACATGGACCCTTAGGGCGGGGAGCGATGTTCGGATGCGTTGGGATACGTTATGGCGTGGTGTATAGTACGTAAAGGTGCTGAGGTTTGCGGCTGAGTTGTATAGAGGCGTGCTGTACAGAGCATGGTCGCTACTTGGTCACTTTGCTGCCGTCTGTGGGGCCAAAAACGAAGATGGGCTGCCATGGCATGACCTAGGAGTGTATCCGCCGACCCCCTTTGTCGGCGTCAAGAAGCTGGACTCGTACCTTTCCCGCTGGACCCGCTAGTGCCCTTCCCCATGGACCCGCGCGGCTTGCTTCCTACCTGGATGGAACTACGCGTATTGTAACCCACCTCCATACTCCAACGTTTTGTGACCCATTTCCCTACCCGCCCCCGCCCTCCCAAGGAACCAAAAACAACCGAATTTGTTGTTTTGGAAGGCGGGTAAGCGGATGGAACCACGCGTTTTGTGTTGGCTGCACCCTACCCCCCCCCCCCAACGCCCCCCCCCCCTCCCCCGCCTGCCTGGCCGCGGCCCCCCCACAGCCAAACAAACCACACGTTTGCACCCTACCCACCCCCCCCCCTCCCCGAACCCCCCCAACCCCCCCCCCCCCCCAACCCCCACCCCCCCCTACCCGCCCACACCCCTCCCCCCCCTCCACCCCCCCCCCCCAACCCGCCCCCCCTTCCTCCCCCCCCCCTGCCCCCCCCCCCTTTTGTGTTGGCTGCACCAACCCCCCCCCCCACACCCCCCCCCCACACCCTCCAGTCCCCAACTCCTCCCCCCCCCCCGCCCCCCCCCCCACCCCAGCAAGTGATCTGTAGCGCACCAGAACCCATGAAGAGACCCCTGGCAGAAGGAATGGCCAAGGCTATCAATCATCCCACTCGCTCCTTTCCGCCTGCACTTGCGAAGGATCCCAGCTTCTGAACGAAACAGAAAGCAGCTGCCAGCTTAGCTGAGGCAGCGAAGTTACATGACATGAGAAGGTCTGAAGCTGAAGCACGAAAGCTCAAGAGCTTAAGCCAACGCATATCCACTTCTAAGATACTGCTCTGCAAGAAAAGTCCGGTTCCAAACAGACGGCCTGCAGCACCGCCTCGCACGCTGAGTCCAACGTTGCAATACGGAGACGATCTGAACTATGCAATTCACCCAGCATCATCTGGGCAGCAACCTCCTGAAGATAGTGCTCGAGTGTACGCTGCCGAGACCAACGTCCCCGCCAAGAAAGCAGTGGAATGTTCTCGCACTGTAAATAAAAATGAGTGGCTCCGCTCCCGCGCAGCACCCCAGGTGTAGCGCCCCGGGTCGCTGCTTTATGCGGGATGCCCAGCTTAGCCATCACTGCGTTCCATTGGCGCCGGAAAGTGTGAGCGGAGGCCGGATAAAGCGGCGTGTTGAGAGGAAGAGCACCGAAAACACTGAAGATAACGCGAATCGCAAAGTCATCGTCTATCCGCCCATGCTGTCGTCTGGCGAACCGGGCCGTTTTAGGACTTCGAAGATGTACGAAAAGGGAGCGAACATGCCCAAAACAGTCACCAGGAAACATCAGGTCCCGTCGGCAGAGACCGAGCATTTCAGAGGGATGCAGCATCGCAAGAAACCCGATAAGAACTAAACCCATCCAGGCTTTCCAACCCCAAAGCGCGGCAAGACTCAAGCAGGCACGGAACGCAGCGGTAGGGAGCACGGCCCTGCATTGCCCGGGCTCGACCAGTTGCCACTTATGATCAACCTGCCAAGCTGCGCTGAGGTTGTTGCGGTACGAAGGGAACTCGTTCTGAATGCTGGTGAGCGCGTAGACGAGAAGATACCTGGGAAGCCCAGAGGAGAAGAGGTACAAGCCGAAGCCCCGCAAAGCAAGCTCAGCAGATCGGTTGTCTGCAAAGACACTCTCGGGCTCAGCGCGCAGCTCGCTGATGATCCATTCATCCAGCGCGGCGCGGGCTTTCCTCATCTTGTGGACTGTGGAAGAAACGAAGCCAGCCTCAAGGCCAAGGACACCGCGAGGAACGCGCGGACCAGCGGGCCCGGGGTTCCTTTCGATATCACCACCAAGAAGAAGGAGGAAGCGGAGCCACCGCCCTGGCAGTTTCTTGATCCCCGACGACTCGACGACTGCATCAAAGCGACGCACATCGCCCTGAAGCAAATCGCTGAGCCAGAGTGGCTTCTCGCGAGAAGGGCTGGGCACGTCCCCATCCCGCGAGGGCCCGTCAGCTGTGTTGTCGCTGGAATAGCAGTGCAGCAACCCAGGGAACAGGCTGGAGCCGATTATGTAGCCAAGGCTGGTGCCCAATACGCGTGAGATTGCAAAGCTGCTTGACCGCCCCTTGGCAGTCGCACCAATCGTCACTCGGGAATCAAGCAACGCCACAGCTCTGACGCTGCAAGAGTCCTTCGCAAGGGATTTTAGCCACGACTTGAAGACCCTAGCTTCGTTGACATTGATGTGGCCAGGCTTGCTGAAATGGTACTTGAACTTAAGCTTGAATCGGAGGCTTTTACAGATTTCCGAGATCCACTCGGGATCTTCGTGCCAGGGTCGGTCCTCGAACAGATCACTGTCCCCGACACCCAGCGAGAAAGCAGCTGATTGCGGCAAGTCAAGAGTCCTGGCAGTAGCATCACGATCGCTCTGACTAATTGAACCGACATGCCCCTGTTTAGCAGCTAAGGAACCACAAGCAAGCCGCCTGACAAGACCTAAAGGATACAGCCCTAAGAAATCAGCAACAGCCTGCCCCACCTTCGGAGGTGCTCCGTAAACTGAAGCGCAGTCAGGGCGGCAGCGGGCGCAGAAGTCGCGAATGCTCTCAGCTGAGAAGGCCGCGCCGCGAACGCTGAAATGCTTGCCGTCCGAAGGGCACGAACAACCGCCTGCTAGTTGAGTAACCCACGGTTTGTTATGCAGCCAAACGGACCTCTTAAAGAAGGGCGACCCGAAGGAACAGAAGCAAAACCTAGTGAGAACACACCCCAATCGGGCGAGCACCTTGTAGCAGTGCAAATGGTACAGGCAGCTTCCTGCGGGCTGCTCCACTGACACGAGCTGCCCGCCGAGCACGGCGATCGTCAAAATCATGGCGCAACGCCTGGCCAGAAGGTTTTGCACGCGGGTAAAGTTGTCATCAGGGTTAAACCCAAAGGGGCAGGACCTATCCCTAACTCTGGGGCGCCTAAGAGTCCCAAAGCTGCAGCAAGGAACAGCGGCATGCCATTCTCGGACGACGCCACGAGCAGCGAGTCCGACAAGCTCCCGTGCAGTGCTGGCGCAAGTCAAGTCGCACCGTCGGCTCTGCCAACCATTGTGATGGATCCCTGGATGTGCAATCAGGCCCGCTTCGGCATGAGCGGCAGTCCATTGACCCTGTCCCGAAAAGACTTCGATGACATCGAAAAGAACACCTTCCCGAAGGGGTCTACTCAACCCAAGGGGCCTACGGGGCGGGGGCCTAGTGCGGGAGCTCTCGGCAGAAGCGGGCCCAAACATATCCTCGCCTTCATGCGGAACCCCTAGCTCACGCAAGATGCAAGAGGCTGGTGACGCAAGCTTGGTGTAGTAATCCCTTTGCTCAGCATGTCTCCAAAATTCCCCTGCTGCCGCGGCCCCTATTTCAGTAGCACAGACAGCTCCGGCCCACGGACTTGCATCCAAGCAGAACAGTTCAGAATGGCGCAGTGCACGAAAGGGCGCTAAGCAGGAGAAGCTCGTTACGACTGTTTGGGCTGAGGGGGAAAGCTTTGCACCTGGGCAGACCCTTGCCCTCCCTGAACAACCCGTCAATGATGCTGAACAAAGGCCTCCGAAAGAGTAGCACATGAATCCAACACCCCAGTAATGCATCGAGCAGCTCAGGTGTGGTCATGCCAAGGCGAGCGATGTGTGATGAGATGACACTAAGGCAAAGGACCCTATCCCTAGGAGCGGAAACAGTACCTACAACTCCATCAAGCTCGGCCCCAAGGATGACTCCTCGCGTCTGCCGGATTTTGTCCTTCTTGGCATTCCGGTGCAGGCCAACTTCTGAGTAAGCCGCGGCGGCCAGACAGAACACTTCGGCATCCCGCGCACGCGCAGCCGAGCTCAACTCTGACAACGGAAGCCTCTGCAAACAGATGTGATCGTCGATTGCTAAGGCCTCCACATGATCAGTGCGGGGTACGGGCTTCCGATATTCAAGGGTTTCATTCGGGAGCATGGAACCGCACAACTTCTGAAGCAATCCCCTATGAGACATTTGAGCAACTTCGACAGCAAGGTTATCTCCCATAGCCATCGTACCCAAACCAATCTGCAGAGGCTCCTTGAGCGCGGGCGAGAATGCCTGTAGGTGAGCGAGCTCTTCGGCTCGGAACTCCGCACGGATTCGGTTTCTCATAGCCCGGGCCCTGCTGACTTTGAAGGAGTGGTAAAAATCAGAAAGGTCAGCGGCATGGAAACGCCACCCATACCCCGGGGGGAGGTGCAGGGATCCTAGCAACCAACCGGGACTAAGGGTTTTAGAGGCATGGCTAGAGGTGTGCATACGACCGTTAATGACGGTAGGATTAACGATGAGTCTATCCCAATCAAGATCCTTCCCTACGCAGAAAAGGCCGACGGCTTCATCCTTGGGGAGCAAAGCAGTCTCTTCGGCCCCAAAGATCCTAAGAGCCCCGTACTGATCCCAGACAGAGGCGAGGGCAAGGAGCTCTGCGCGATCCGCGTGGACAAGAGCGGGCCGATGCACTTCCCACTGGCTAGGGTCCTTTCTCATGACTTCGGGGTCAAGGTAAGCGGCCTTAACTACTGGGTCGTCTAGATATGGGAGAGGGTCAAACTGTGGGGGATGCTTCCACTTTATGCGAGAGGCTTTGATGCGCATGGCGCTAAACGACTTCAGGCTGGGGAGCTCGGCCCTGGTTTGCACGTTCGGCGCAGCTCCGGCGCCAATTACGTTCATAGCACCTGCGTCGTCGGGCACTGCGCAAGGAGGGGCCCTAGAAGCCTCCGGCGCTACAGGCCCGTAGGGGTCAAAGTCTTTGTGCAAAGACCTAACTAAAACCAAGAGCTGGTCCACACCTAAGTCGGCAGGCTTAGGCAGTTCCGAAGCAACCTTGGCAAATGCAGCGAATTTAGGCCCGCAGCGGCCCAACGACTCAGGCAAGAAGCTGGGAGTCAAGAGCAAGCGGTCGACAAGTCGCTCCAAGTTATCAAGAACTTTGTGCTGCTGGGGACTAATGGGGTCGCCTAGCCTAGAACCCTTGGGGGGCCGGACCGGGTGCCCTAAAGTCTTCCAGTTCAGGCAGCAAACAATAACTTGCAACATCTGACCGCGGAGCTCGAAATGGCGTCGGCGCCTGCGAGCTCTAGGACTGCGGGGTGAGCCAAAGCAACAGCACCTCGGGGGCGGGATTGGCCACAACGAACTCCCAAAGGGAGCTTGCACATTACAGGCGGGGCTCTGCAAGGAGAGCCTAATGAAATGACCAAGGCCAGTGTGGCTTGACTTAAGGTCGAGCAGCATGCGCTTAATTAGGGAGTACGGATCGAGGGGGTCAGAGCTATGAGGACCAAACTCGGGCAAGAGCTCACAAGCGACATCCTTCCCTAAACTGTTTGCAAGATCAAGGTCGGGAGCCTCACTGCAAGCACTGCACGGATCCTCGCGGCGCACAAGCATCGGATTCAGGCACCGTCGCCCTGACCCTTCGGCTTGGCCTTCCGCTTTGCTCTCCAGCCTTTTTGGCCGCCCTCTGTCCACACAGCCTCCGGGGTAGTCTCGTCCTTGGCCTTTCCCAGAGTTGACATCTTTGACTCTAGGAAATCTAAGTCTTTGAGATAAGAGATGTTCGCGGCAGCCCACGCGGGGTGCATCAGAGAGCTGAAAGGTTTCAGCGAACTCTTCCTCTGCACCGACCACAGCTGGGGGGGTGGTTCCGGAAATCCTGACATCAGGAATGCAAGTTGCAACTTTCCGGCGTCGATGGCAGCTTGTTCGACGAAAAACAGCATGCGAGCTGCGAAGGCCTGCAGCTCTTTGTTCTGCGACGCCTGCCCTTGCTCCCATCCAGTTGCGGCTAGGAATCCCACGTAACCCAGGAGCCGGTGCCCCGCAAGGGGCACTCGGCGTTCGAGGTACAACTTCATCAGGTTGGGCTCTTCGTGGTTTGGAGCGATCCCCAGCTCTCTCAAGGCACTCTGACGAGCCGTCTCTGCGACACGCTCCGGCTCTTGGATCTGTCGAAGGAAAGCATCCCTGGCTAAGCAGCCTTTGATCCCGGAAGGCTCTCCGCTTCCGCTGGCCCCACCGGACCCCAACGCGGCCGAGACTGCATCCAGCTGTCGGCTGGGCAACAGGCGCTCTATCAGCAGCCTGTTCTGGGCCAGCTGGGCCGCCAGAATACGATGCAGCGGAGTCAGTTCTGACAGGTCCTGGAAAGGGTCCTCGGCAGCAGGCTCCGGGAGAACCTCCAACTCGGCTTCGCGGAAGGTCCCTGCGCCCGGCTCGGGCACTTGAGGCTCGGGCGCCCTCACCTTTCGCGGAGGGGCCCCAGCAAGAGCTTTGAGTCTCTCCCAAGCAGCATCGTCGAGACCTGCCGCAGTCGCACCGAAAAGCTGGCCCCCGTTTCGGGGCTGCACTGGCGCGGCCTGAGCAGGGGCCCGAGCTCGGGCCTCCATCGCCTCCAACCGAGCCAGCAAGGAGGCGTACTCCAGGCGACTTGGGCCCTCCGATGCGGCAGCGGCTTTCTGCAAGTCCTCTGCTGGCTCCTCTTCTGGCACCTCCTCTTCGCCTGTCTGGTACTCCGCAGCAGTGTCCAGGACCATCTCGGCACTGATCCAGGCACGGACCCGATCCAAGATGCTGACTGGCACAGGTCTTGCGTTGACACCGTCCAGCACGAAGGCGGTAAGCTCGTAGTCCCGGCCTGCTCCTCGCATGCTCCTGGCTCTGCTGAGGTAAACTGTCCCGGCCCAAGGCAGGTCCACCAACAGGACCTCCATTGGCCCCAGTCTTCTGCCCCGGTTCGTCTCGAACTCCGCCGTGGCTTTCAGGCATAGGGCCATGTCCTCGCCGTCCTCCGTCGTGAGGCCCTCCACAAACTTCACGACTTCGTCCGTCACAGGCAGACCAACCAAGAAGCCATTCTCCCTGGCCTTGAGCAGCACGGCCTGCACCAGGCGGAGCCTTGCACCCTCTTCGTCGCTCGGCACGTCCCCCAGCAGCAAAAACAACATCGGGAGCGGTCTCCCTGGAGTCCATGTCTCCAGCGCAGACGCAATGTCCCGCTGTGTGCAAGTCGTCCGCACAGTACGTGCACTGGCCATGGTACTCCAGCTCCGAGCAAACGAGCGTCTGCTTTGGCACGAGAAGCGAAGGAGCGGGAAACCACACCCTCAACAGCCCAAGCGATGTGCGAGCGGTTGCCTCATTCACCGCGGAGGCGGTACTCACTAAGTCGTTGCCTTGCTACGGCCGGGTTCAGGTTCGGAACTGTGCCAGTGGTCAAGAATCCGCCCAGCAGAGTACGTAAGAATCCCAAAGCGGCCCGCCGGCACAGCGGTGAGAAAGCACAGGTCGCAAGAGCCGCCCCGCAGATGGCCCCAAAACAGCAAAGGCTCAAGCCAAGAAGCACCAGCAGCGTCCAAGGGCAGCCGGTGCAAGGACCTTGGTTCCAGGCCCTGAGAAAGTCGCCTGCCCAGTAGCCAGCGGTGGTCCACCAAGGGCCCATCACCCTTTTCTACCCCAAAAGCTTGAAGCCACAAGTTTCGGTTCACATTCGCTTCATGGGATACTTGTCATACTTCATCCGCAGCGCTTACCTCGGGGGTCGGCGGCAGCGGCGTCAGCCTTTAAATCGGGCAGCGCGAGGTCCCCAAGGACCGAGCATTGGCGGACCTTCTAGCCCGGGTCGTCCCGGGAATAGCCTTGCTGGCCTCTGGCCTTCTGCGAAGCAGAATTAGGCCGGACGCCAGTGCCGCCGACCCCCGCGTGCCGCCGGCGAACGGTTTTTTTTCGTGGTTTTTTGCGTCGCCACGGAGGCCCCCAGAGGGCGCGCATCATGAGCATCAGCGGGTCCAGCCCGGGACCCCCAGGCGCGCATCAGGAGCATCAGCGGCTCCCGGGGCGGGACCCCGGGGGCCAAAGGGCGGGCATAAGCGACGGGGCTAGGAAAAGGGAGTTTAGGGGCCTTATAAAGTGCTTAGAAACTTTAAGGGAGTCTAGGAGCCTCAAACGCTTAGAGATTTGAAGGGAGTTTAGGGGCCTGAAAATGCTTAGAAACTTTAAGGGAGTTGAGGAGCCTCAAACGCTTAGAGATTTTAAGGGAGTTTAGGGGCCTCAAACTGCTCGCCCCGCGCTTCTGCCTGCGCTGCCCGCCCATGGGCGCAGCCCCTTACAATAACTTTACATGTGCACGTGCGAGTTGATGTAGATGCACCTCCGTATGTTTGCATTTGCGCATTGCAGAAGCGGGGTAAGGTAAAAAACAAGTACTTGATCATGGTTGAGAGCACCTGCCATCGCCTTTGTTCGCGTCCGGTCCTTGCACGAAGTTCAGGCCAATTTTTGGCACGTGACATTCCACAGGGTTCTCCATGGTGCTTGGTTGGATCATGTTGGAACCGTAACACGAAGAGGAACAGGTACCGTACCCAAAGCGGAATCGTTGCTTTGGCTTCGTTGAGTGGGATTGCAGTGCCACTGGGAGATTGTTACTGTCCTCCTTGCGAACTGCCACCCAGGGACCTCAGTGTGGCTTGGTTGCGCATCACTGCTTCATCCAGAAATCGTACTGGCTTACGAGGACCTGCTGAAAACCCGTGCTCCATCATCTCAAGGCCACATTGCCATAGGCACTCACCCCGCACCCCACAGCCAAAACCCTTCATCCAAAAACCCTGAGCTTTGCGACATCGAAAGCCCTCTTTAGACGCCCCGAAGAAACGAAAAGCCTGCGACCGAAGCCCTTCCCACCCTTAAATATCGTAATTATAGCCCGAAACCCCTCGCGCCCTGTACCCTAAACCTTGCTAGCCACAATTCGACCACAAAAATCCAATATCCTGGGCGCCCCGGCTTTGGCGCCTCCGAAAGCCCGCCGCAGAGCTGCGCTGCGCAGCGGCAGAGCTCCTTGCGCACCTCCGGAAGTGCGCAAGCCGTGGAAGCCCTTTACACTCCGCAAGAGGGGAAGAGAGGCTCCCCCAAAACAGAGGCTCGGAGGTTCATGAGGGGAGTGCTCTACTGAGGGTCTGCTGCTGTCTCCGGCTTCTGAGTCATCTCAGATCCGTAGGTTGGGCACAGGTGATCAAGGAGCTCTACCTCCGAACTGCCTTGAGATACTGCAATGCAAGACTGCACACGTGATTTCCTTCTACCAGCATGGCTTTGAGCATACTGGTAGGTTGGCACATCAACTGCACCGGTAGAGATTCTTGTGGGCATGGCCTCTTTGTCAAAGCGCTTGCACACTTCCTCCGCAGACAACCTTGCCCGAGCATGCTGGGCGAGAGCGTAATCATCTCTAAGCCGAAAAAAGAACCTTACTTCGACACAGCACCTTAGCACCTTGGAGGGGGGGAGGTTTTGAGTGGAAGAATTTCACCGCTCCAAAGCCTCGCTGCGGGGTCCCCTTCTGCCATCTCTCCGAGCAGGGTGCGCCTTGGGAGCCAATGTTTCCTTCCCCAGTGGTCCTTCTCGTTGGGGTCTCCGAAAGATATTGATTATACGGTATACGCCAAATGGAAGATGGCTAATGTCGGATGGAAGCCTAGCAGTGTGCATCTGTCGCTGTCATTCGCTGTCTCTGTAGGACCGGATGTGTGTGGGGATGCACATGTGTCACATGAGCATGCTTGTCGGGCTCAAGAGAATTTGAGAATTTGAACGCTCTTCAAGCCCAAGACCGAGGCGGCAGCGACCGCACACCCAAACAGTTGTGGCCCCGGGCGTCTTTGGGAGTCGGCTGACGATGTGCCCTGGCACCACCTTACGAGGCATCCTCAACCCAAACCGTCTAAAAATCTCCCTAGCTTCCAAACTTTCTGCCCCCTGCCGGATTTGTGGTGGCTACTGGCGGGCTGAGCATTGTCTGAACACCGTCGTGATGGTGAGCTTCCTCGAAGCACCATCCTCCCTATGGATCGAAGCAGCGCCTGCTCGTGGTTGAACTTGTCGAAGGTCACGATGCGCTCCATGTGCGTCCTACACCATGTCAGCTTCGTCGCCCACACCATCAAGTCTCATTTTTCTGCAAGTTGCCACGCCCATCTACATTGAGAGGTCATACGTAGGAGAGTTTGCCTCAATGGGGAATGCTGCAAGTCAACGAAATCCGATCCACAAGCAAGACGGTGCAGTACATCGCCTCTGCTTTACACCCTCTATTCTTCTATTAATTACACCCCACACTCAACCCGAGACCCAGTGCCTAATGCAGCCCCGTCCGGAAAGGCTGCAACAACAGCTCGAGGAGGGTGACCGCACCTCAACATCAGATGAGGGCAAAGGACTTTAGGGGTGAGAGTTTGCAAACGCATTGTCGACTGAATTCTCGAGTAGCGACACACATGGGCGGCTGTCAAAATTCCTGCTTCCAGGAACGGCGGCGAACGCTGAAAAAATCATGGTGCCGCCTTATGACGAAAAGGATAACGAAGGTCTGGAACGATGGCTTTGGCAAGTACAGAAGTTTAGTACCAATTTTGTACCCCATGCAACAACCTCGCAAAACACACTAGCGCCTTCATTTTAAGACTCAGGCGTCGTCTTCGGAACTACTGGAGCTAATGATTCGCAAGCAAGCATCAGCATCCTCAGCTCATACCATGTCAGCTTTGGAAAGGAATACCTAGCGCCACACCAGCGCTATCCTAGCGCCTACATCTATGATCATTTGTTTTAGGCTATTCGCGCGATGGCAAGGAATCTGCCGGAGGCTATCGTCACCAGTGCTTGTCGCATATTGCCGCGCGCCTGCATTCGAGATGGTAGCTCACTTACGGTGCTATCGGAGAAATGCAGTGGCAAAGCGTCTGGATCCATGGTGGGATCAGTTCAGCCGCGAGTCTCATCTCTTGCAGCATGACATGCCGACACCACGCTGACTCGCACAATACCTGTTCCCAATCCCCGCACTGGTCACATGGGTCACACACGGCCAAGTGACCTCGCCCGGTGCGGTGCAGAGTCTAGCTGAGTCTAGCTGAGTCTAGCTGAGTCTAGCTGCAAGCTGTGCTTTGCAAGCGTGGCGTCCTTCAGAGGTAAGGCAAGAATGATCTGGTTCTGCGTCTCGAGGGAGACCAGAGACAAGGAGGCAAGACTGGAGAGCAGAGGCGAAGGGCGACTCCAGTAATCTGGCTCTGCGTCGAGCGGGAGACAAGATTGCAGACAAAGAGCGGCCGCGCCTCAGTGGTCCGGTTTTGCATCTAGGGGGAGACAAGAAAAAGAGGACAAGATGAGAGACAAGAAGTGCCTCTCTGTGAGCTCGTGTCGAGCCTGTCACGTGAGAAGTATACGCTCTTGCTTGCCATGGCACAGGAGTAGATGTCCACTTTGTCAGAACAGGCTGCACGCTGTCCTTGTCGAACCGACTGCAGGATTTCCTGCAGGGCCGGAAATGGATCCAAAGCCTACCCGGCCTACCCTCAAAGAACCCTTAGCGCTGCAAACCATTGATTTGACGACAACGGGTTGTTGCAGAAGTGCACAGGCAGAACTTCCTGATCGAGGGGGCCCAGAAAGCCGCAACGCAAGGATTCTACAACATGGTTTGCCAGAATCCCCTTTATAGAGGCCCTTATCCCCGAATAGTAGGATCCTTATGTTTTATGGCGCACTATCACTGGGCTTCCACCACGGCATGCGTTCCGGTCTCTGAGGTTTAGGGCTCTCACCAAGCAAGGTCGAAAGGCTGACACTTCCCAAACTCCTCAGCGCACAAGCACACACACACAACTTGCTGGTACCCCGGCCGGAGCGGCATAGCCAGGAGTACCCCCGGTGAGGCCACTGCGCGTGGTCAGCCTTAGATGCTACTCAAGGGGCCTCGGATGCAACAGGAAAAGAGATGAAAAGAGTGATGCGCTCTAGAGACTCTAGAGAGGAGACTGCGTCTCGAGACCCCGGCATGTCTGAAGAAAATTGGTCGAACTGGCGGAAGAGTTGATTCTCGCCTCAGGGCAGGGTGAGTGGTCTCATCGCAGGCCCCCGTGGCGCTTAGAAACGAACTTGCGCCCAAGAGCTGCACCAGACAAGGTCTCTTTGCTTGGTTTCTGATGCAGTGCCGGCTCTGCTTAAGAACAAGTTGCTCAAGAAAAGGTGCCAAGAAAACCAGTGGCCACTGAATCGATTAAAACGAAACTCACGAGCAATGGCAGTTCAGAACATCACTGACCTCCGGAAACTTTGCTGTAGCAGTACCGACCCGGATTCAACCAGCTACATCCATAGTCCTTCATGTCCTTCAACACCACGAACCGGCAAACTTCACATTCTCTCACCCGAACTTGCCCCCTGTCGGACGCAAGCCCGAGGTTCTAAAGAAATTCCGCATGATTCCGTGCATTCGATGGATCGCAGGGCGCCTGCCAGGCCGAAGTCCCCAATGCGGACCACGCGCACCTCACAGCCAGACTCAGTGATTTGAGTGCACTCGGATTGGTCTGCACATGAAGAAAAATGCTTGAGCCAACTTACCCGCAGTTGAAACGGTCCTCCTAGGCCCCCACGAAGACCCAATCACTATAGGCTTTTGGCCCGTGCCTTCGAGCGCTCGGCCACGCAAAAGATGTTGTCCGGCCTCTGACTTGATCTGACTTGATACCCGGGCTTGTGGCTCCAACAATTCGATACTTTGATTCAGTAATGGGGAGGGGGGGCACGTATGCCTTCTCGTCTTCTCTGCTTGTTTTGTCACCGCGTGTCCAGGCTGTCACTAGGCCCTGCCGGGCCCCGAACTTCAAATCGGCGTGGACAATGCGCTTTCGGTGGATGTGCCGCACCTCGGCATGTCACAGATCTCCGTGCGACTTCAACCGTGTGCCCGTGGCACTATGACTCTCGATTCGGTCTACACCTTTACCGAAGCCTTCACCTCCCGATCCGCTGGTGTCTTAAGCACTTGTAAGCCCTCGGACACTGAGCATGAGCGACCCGAAGATGTCTGCCGCGTCGGAGAGCCTGAAGGATAGGACAGACTGATGTAGGCGTACTAGCCGTTACTAGCCTCCTCACAGGGCTTCAAGATGCTTCAAGTCTGCGGTCGCACAAAACTAGGGGGTCGGGATGCTTTTTGCGGCATAGAACCGGGGAATGTGGGGAAATCCTTGTCTTGCCACTTGCTTCTGGGTTTCAGGACCCGGGGCCTGACTTGAGACAGGTAAAGCGCCCCCATGTTGTGCAAAGCCCTTGGGCATGGTACGAAGTCTTGAAGCCTCAGGTGGCCAGCGGATCCGACTAAACCTCCCAGATCCCTTTCTTTGCGTACAAACTTGGTGCGCTGAAAGTCAAGGATTAAGATGTCGCAACCCCCAGGTGCCTTATAAGCGCCAGGCAAGTGCTAAGCAATGCCAAGCAGCGTCCGATTCTCACGCTTCAACCACGATCGAAGCGTCAGCGTCTGCCTCGAGCACACTCTTTTTGTCCTAACGCCGAGATGTTGCTCACTTTTCTGAGGAAAGCTCTGATTTCTGCCGCCATGGTATCAAGCAATGAGTTTGGATTCAGGTACATTCTGGACCAATATAGCACGATAAAGCACGAAGGTAGAGCAATGCTACAGTGAGCATCTCAACCATGACAATGCCCTAAACCCTGAACGTCAACAGTGTTCCGGGCCCAACTTACTGTGGCCCTGGCCGTTCATCTGACACGGTACCACCAGGAGGGGGGCCCATAAGCTCCATTTCGATCAATAACACCTCGCTTGCAAACGCAAGGATGCGAGGGAGGCGAGGGACATAAGAGACGTGAGAGACGTGGCGTCCAGGCTTGTTTACAGCTACGCAGGGATATGCAAAGAGAATGTGTGGATATGCACCAAGAAGTACTGACACCAGCGAGTTGGTCATGCCTAGCTTTGCAAGTGCCACTTCGGCTGTCACAAGGACATCTCAACGACGAGAGACCCGGACCCAACAGCTAGAGTGGGATCTTATGAGGGCCAGTGACAGCAACATCATGAGCGCGAAACGACCACAAACAGCCAGCTCATTTATGGTATATCTCCGTTGCGGCAGTTGAATGGTCCCCCCCTGGGCCCCTTCGAAAAATCCCCAGTATCGGGCACACAATGCCAAACACAGCTCCACAACAGAGCAACTCCCAGAACCGCAGGACTACTCCGCTTCCAGGTGCTGCAGGTGAACTTCACATCATTAAGTACTAAACTCCCAAAACCGCATGGGCACAAATGAACGTCGACCACAGCCCAGTCCGCACAGGGCGTCGGACGACCTTTTTCGCTGTGGCCTTGCTGTCGTTCCTGTTCTCCTTGCTCAGGAACAACAGATTTGGCTTCTCGCAGGGGCTGCTAAGGGATCATTAGGCGTTAGGGGCTCGTTCAAGGGTCTTCTGGTTGGTGCTGATCCTAACACGCAGACCCATGCTCATGTTCAAATCAAGAAGAAGACTCTAAGAGTGCAAGAACATCAACGACAATGTCAACGAACCTGTCTCAAACCAACACATCTTGACTTAGGCTGAAGCTGAAAACCTCGCGGAAGGCCATCCGAAAGCCCCTACTATACTGCCCAAACCCTCAATTCGAGCTGCCCTTGCTGGCTTTCAGTCTCGAAAGCCCTACGGCTGTTAAGATCTGTGAACCTTCAGAATCGAGATGCCGCATCTGTGGACCTTGCTCCAGAAAGCCCCCAGATTGTGCCCGGATGCAGCCCTGCCTGCCAGGGCGATCTGGGCCTCGTGGGCTCGATCTCTTCAGCAAACTCCGGGGCCTCGAAAATGAACCTGGGTCGGGTGCCAAGTTGACAAGGTGGCGACTCCCTGGCTGCAAACTCGCAGGCGCACTCACACTCACGACGTGTGGTTCTGCATTTCAGCGTGTTGCCAAGGCGCAAGACACAGAGGTCCACTTTGGCAAGCCCAAGCACTAGGCCCCCAGCCCGCAGCTGCTATTCAGCCCTGACGGGGTGGGGTAGACATCGCTGTGGCTTCGAGTGCGCCTGGAAAGTAAAAGCGTCTTCGGCTCACAGGCATAGAGCCTGCGAAATGCGAGGCTAGTCTACCGTTGTTTGCTCTCTTCGGCTTCCTCCTCTTCTTCTGACGAGCTCTAGGCCGAGGCTGCTCGCTACCCCTCGCGTGTCTTCCCATCCCCCCTTCCTCACCGTTTTGAAGTCTTGGAGAGCCACTGCTGAAAAAATTGACAGCTTCGCGCATGCTACAGCTGGAACGAGCAGATTTGGAACATCGGCTTCTCACATCGAGTTGTGTCCGTGACACTCGCCAATCAGTTGACTAAGCATGGCTTTGGACTATCGGAAGTGCATGCAACGCCTGCCTCAAGCCACCATAGCTGCTGGACTGACGGACCTGAACTTCCCGAAATCGAGTGCGGCGCTTAAGTGGCCGTACTATCCAGGTCAAGCCGGAGCCCGGGCGCAAGCTCTGCGATGTGTTGACCACGGCTTCAAAAATCACTTTAGGATTCAGCAACTACCTGATCTCATTATATCTCATTTCCCTCCATTTGCCTAGCGCCATCTCCCAGCTCACTCCATCATGATGGTGACCCCGCCCATGACGGATTTTGGTGCATCCTCCACAACCCCACTGTATGGGGCTTTGGGTTGAAGAACTCTGCTCTTCCGGTTTGGGGAGGCAGTGAAAGGGCACATGAGTATACAACAATGAACCTGAGATTCGAATCTGGTGAAGTAAGCTTCGACCTGCATCGTGATTTATGGCTTCCAAACATAAACTTGTGACAGTCCCCTTTCAAACCAACAGAGCACCCCGTGGGAACGCCTGATGTGAAATGCAGAATACCCGCACGTGCAAGACGTGCTCCAAACACTGGACCCACTGGCAAGCTACTCAGTGCCACAGGGCCACAGGGCCACAGGTATGGTCTCAAAGGCTTGCAGGGCTGGCAGCGCTAGTTTGAATCCGCTGTGAGCGCGAATTTTGCGCCTCGAAAGTCTGACCATGAGCAACTGAGCCAAGTGCGCGAAAGCGCAAAGATGACACCCGGGAGGCTTCGTCTTCCGTGACCTGCTCTCCAAACGTTTCGGGGCTACGGGCTTCAGGCGGCCCCTTGAAAAAGCGGACCCTTGGACTTCACATGCCTAAAGCCTCCCTGAAGTTTTGAAGTGCCTGCACCTCCGTCTTCACGGGCTTCGGCGCCTGAAAGAGTCCAACCCAACGGAGACCCCAAGTCTTTCCCCACGGAGACTTCACGAAGTGCACAATGCTCCTATAGGAATTGGAGGATTTTAGCGAATGGGCTGGCTGTTCAGAGGAGTGGGGTGGTGGCTCTAAAGCTGCGAAATGTTTCTACGCTTCAATTGAAGGAGAAAACAAAAGGCTTGTGAAGTCTTGCGTGTGGATAGCTGTCTACCTTTGCATCTTCTCCTTCTGGGCTGTGCCCTCTGCGAGGGCCACGGTCGGATCTCTGGATCATACTCACAGCTTTAGGGGCATCAATGCACCTGAAGGGGCAGTAGCATGCAGCATTCAATCCTCTCTAACTCCCCCAAGGCCCCACATCCCTAAGCAGTAAGTACCAAGCGGGCTCGCCCACGAGCTGCCGTATGTCCTGGTGAGAGGCTGGAGGCTTCCGATGTTGACTTGGGAGCTTCCAAGAATTGAGGGTCCCCTTTACACGCTCACAAATGTAGAGTCACCCCTGTAAGAACCCTTTAAACAAGAGCCCCCGGCTTTGGGAAATTTCCACTTGCTGAAGACACTTCGAGGGTTGCCACTTCGAGTCTAAGTTGCAAGCCCGAACTTTACTCTCTGAAGGAGGCCGGTGCACCTTTCAACAGGTCTCACAAAGTCTCCATAAAATGGAAAGTAGCGAAATTCCCCAGGATGCCCCGCGATGCCCTCACCCCACCCCGGCCCCTGCTCCTGCGGAAGGTGCTCCGGTTCCTGCTGGACTGGACGAGAATTTGGAGCTCTCCGACTCTCCGAGCTTCAGAAGCGCACTTAGCCAAGTTTATAGCCAAGTCTAGAGCCCTCTCGCCCTCTGCCTCCAGCCAGTAGGTCTCGTATCGCACAACATGCGCAGAGCCTCAGCTGAAAAGGAGCACCCTGCACTTCAGCGCACTTCCAACGACGCCACGAGTGGCTACGGGATGCCAAGTTGCCAAGAAATTGCGACTGAGGTACTAAGGTCCTGGAATGTCGACAGGCACTCCCGCAAGCCTTTGAGTGGCACGTGATCGGTTTCAAACATGTAAGTTTGCAGGGGTCAACTGGGGAGCAACTGCCAAAGACGCTGACCTCGCGAGTTTAGGCGGAAGCACGATCAACTATGATGCTACAAGGTGGGTGTGCAACACGACGTGGCGTGGGCTCGAGCATGTCAAGAATGCCATTAGAAAACCACCAGCCAGAAGAGCAATGTATTCTTTGAACGCCCATCTCAACTCAACATTCAAGATGTACAAAGATCCATCAGAGCCCAAGATCGTCCCAAGAAGAACCAGCGAGAACAAATACCACCGGGTTACCACCGGGTGAATGCCTCGCCTTGATGAAGTGCGGCCGCCTCACGCGACTCTGGCAGCCTAGGAGATGGGAGCCGCTTTCTCTGTCTCTCTCTCTCTGATGCCAGCATCCGCCCGATGCGCAGTCTAAGTCTCTAAGCAAACCTTGCCTTTTTTAGAGGACCCAAAGAGAAAGAGAGAGAGAGAGAGAGACCCGGAAGCGCGCGAAGATACTTTGTGGTGACCAGCTACACGTCCATTTTACCAAGGGTTTGTGAACACACCTAGCAGTCTTTTGGCTTCTGCTTTATTTGATCATGGGCCCTGGGATCTTGGGGCAAGGCAGTATCGGGATGGCTTTCACGGCCACCCACCGGCCTCTCTGCCTGCCGGGCTTTGCTGTTTTTCTTTGCTTGGCGGGAGAGAGGGAGAGAGCTAATGAAAGAGAGCTACTTGAAGGCCACACAATCAAGACTTGGTCGTAGAGCTGCACTTGGGGATCTGGGCTCAATGCTGTGGTGTTGCTACAACCGCAGTGCGCGTGCTCAAGCGCGCCTGCCAGCCCTGCAAGGTGCTTTGCTTGCTTACTCGTCTGCGCAAGTCACTGTTATGTCGTCTGTGTTGTGGTTGTGGTATGCTCATCTTGGCGTACTTATGCTTGATTGCTTGTTTGCTCGCTTGCTTGCTTGCTTGCGCGTTTGCACGCTTGCTTGTTGCTGCACTGTTGCTTGAGAGTCGCGCATATGTCTGTTGTATCATTCTGCGTGCTTGGCTTGGTGTCGAGCGTGGGTGGCTGTGTGCTGTGTGCTGTGTGCTGTGTGCTGTGCTCTGTGTGCTGTGTGCTGTGTGCTGTGTGCTGTGTGCTGTGTGCGATGCGCTGTGTGCTGTGTGCTGTAAATTTGTATATATGCGTGTGTGTGTGTGTGTGTGTGTGGGTGGGTGCTTGCGTTCGTGCGTGCGTGCGTGCGTGCGTGCGTGCGTGCGTGCGTGTGTGTGTGTGTGTGTGTGTGTGGGTGCGTGCGTGCGTGCGTGTCGTGCGTGCGTGCGTCCGCGTTGCGTTCGTGCGTGTGTGTGTGTGTGTTGTGGGTGGGGGTGGGTTGTGGGTGTGGTTCGGGTTCGTGCCGTGCGTGCGTGCGTGCGTGCGTGGGTGGGGGGTTGGGGTGGGGGGTGTGTGTGTTTGTGTGTGGGTGTGTGTGTGTGTGTGTGTGTGTGTGTGTGTGTGTGTGTGTGTGTGTGTGTGTGTGTGTGTGTGTGTGTGTGTGTGTGTGTGTGTGTGTGTGTGTGTGTGTGTGTGTGTGTGGGTGCGTGCTTGCGTGCTTGCGTGCGTGCGTGCGGCGTGCGTGCGTGGGTAAGTGGGTGGGTGTGTGTGTGTGTGTGTGCGCGTGCGTGCGGGTGTG